TAGATATTATATTGAGTAGCCAAATATCACGATGCATCCTGAAAGCGATTTTTTCCCCACACCCCTACGTAGGACAGCCTTATGTAAACATATCACCAGAATGATTGACAGTTTGGAGGACCACTGATTTAGATGATCCACCCGGAAAAAGAACATCCTCCACTACACCTTTAACAAACTAAATATTTAGCTAGCTTGGTGCTAGCTAATATTTAGGTTATTAAATAAATATTTAGCTTGATAAATAAATATTTAACCAACTGAGAAATGTTTTAACCTACAATCTAAATATTCAGTTTGGAACTTAGATTTTTGTAAATGAACAAATGAAATAGTGAAAAATAACCCCCTCATTTTCTAAATCAGCACACATTTTGCTCCTCATTTTTGACTGCTAAACTTTACAATCATTCCCATAAGGGAGGACTTCCAGCCGTGCAGAAACAAAAACAGGTTTAATATTTAATCCCTTAAAGTTTAGAGATGCTAAAAATATTCAGGTTTCAGTTTCCACATAAATCAAAACTTTTAAATCAGTATGTTTTTCTTAAAGATGATTTAATTCTGAGATTAACAAATTAAAAGCCTCAGGAAGACTAAGAAAGGACACAACAGATGCCTGAAGAAACTTATGAAAATGATTTTATTATTTTTCCCTTTTTATAAAACTTCTCCAAAATAAAACAAAGACATTACTATTACTACTACCACTACTACTTTACTTATTTACGAAGCACTTTAAAACAACCGTGAAGAAGTGCTGCTCATATACAAGAAAAAATAAATTATTAAACAACTAAAGAGAGTAAAAATAGACAGTGAGATAGAATAACAGAAATATAAATCAGAGTTGAAAACCCCAAGTACTACATAAATCCTCAAACATCAAATCAGTGACAAATGCTGTTTTCATAAACTGAGATGTATATTGAATTATAAAACATCAATATTAAATAGATTATGAATATGGTCATGATTCAGCCGTTTTGGGATTTTTTTGGTTTTTGTTTTAGTTTTCGTTTTGAGTTTTCAGTTACACTTTGATTCATGTCATTCTGTGTTTTCCATGTCATTGGTTTCTTTTCCATTTAGTGTCCAGGTTATTTTCTAGCTATATATGAGCGCTGTTGTATTTCTTGTTTACTCCCTGTCGCCCCCTTGTGTCAGTCTCCTTTCCTCTAGCTCCCTTCTAGATCCTCCTGTCCACACCTGCTCCCAATCAGCTGATTGCTCCATTCTTTGTTCCGTTTAGCAAATATACGCCTCCTCTGTAGTTACTCGTTGATGGATTCTTATCATTCCTTCAGTTTATTTCCCCACCAGTGTCTCCTAGTTTTTTGTTCCTGAGTTTCTTGTCGTTTTGGATTATGACTTCTGTACTTATACTTCTTGTGACAGGGCTCAGTCGGGTTACCGGCGTTGGTTTATTGTGCTCATAAAGTCAAAACAGGGTGTGAAATTAATTATACATTTACAAGATCCTCTTGGCCTCAGCCTCCCTCCAGTTACCAGCAATGTAAAAAAAAACAGAAACACAAAATGGCCGCTCTTCTTCCCACAGCTCTCAATAAATAGCTTAAGCCCCTCCCCTCAGGCTCTATTATTTCCTCACATAAATCAATTTTGTGCATATATTATTACTTCCACACACAATCAGAATTAATATACAAAAACACATAATTGTTACAATTTAATTCATTTCCACAGATTGAAGGACTTATTCGAATACACGAAATTTAAATATAAAATAAAATAAAAAAATAATCTGGCAAACATTTAGCGA